TGAGAAAACGGCCTTCATAGCACCGGGGCTCGGCCAGTATCAATTCAAAGTCCTATGCTTTGGACTAACCAATGCTCCTGCAACGTTCCAAGCAGTAATGAACCGTATATTTGCTGCGTACATTGGCAAATTCGTGCTAGTGTACTTGGACGATATTTTGGTCTTCAGTAAGACCCCCACCGAGCATGAACAACACATCCGTACCGTGTTGTCCTTGCTAAGAGAGCACCAATTTAAGGCAAAAATGTCGAAATGCCAGTTCAACCAGACCGAGCTGCATTTCCTGGGTCACGTCGTCAGCCGAGAGGGGCTGAAGGTGGACGAGCGTAAGGTCCAAACCATTAAAGAATGGCCTATACCGACAGACTTGCAAAAGCTGCGCTCGCTCCTTGGCTTAGCCAATTATTTTCGAAGATTTATCCAAGGATATTCTTCTCTCGTGGCCCCCCTCACGTCACTCACCAGTGCGAAAGTGCCCTACCACTGGACGAAGGACTGTCAAGGCTCCTTCGAGGGCGTGAAGTCTGCCTTAACCAACGCACCAGTATTAAAACTCCCTGAACTAGACAAACCCTTCACTGTCTGGTCCGATGCATCATTACACGGCACGGGTGCCGTACTTTTACAGAATGACCGCCCAGTCGCGTACACAAGCTCTAAATTCAGCAGAGCTGAGTACAACTACACGACCACGGACCAAGAGTGTTTAGGAACTGTCCTAGCACTTGAAGAGTGGCGCTGTTACCTCGAGGGTGCATCGGATGTCACTTTAGTCACCGATCACCAACCGCTGGTCTATTTGCAAGATCAGCAAAGCGCCGATAAACTCTCTCGACGACAAGCTCGTTGGTTGGAACGCCTCTCACGTTTCGACTTTAAATGGGAGTACTGACCCGGACGAATCAACGTTGCTGACCCTCTCAGTCGGGTTCACGACGTGGTGCTGAACGTGCTTACGGCATCGCTGATTGGCAGCAATATTGGGCGCCGAATCCTAAGCGGGTACGACGGCGATCCCATGCTCAAGAAGAGCTCGGTAGCAAAACTGCAGCTTAAACGGAAAGACGGCTTCTGGTATTACGGTTCCCAGTTGTACGTTCCGGATGTGCTTGACTTGCGAAAGGACATCATCCATGAAAATCACGATGTTCCTTACGCTGGCCACCGCGGCATTGACCGCACCAAAAAAGCGATCGTGAAACATTTTTGGTGGCCCGGGTTGGATACTAACGTGAAGGCCTACGTTAGTACCTGCCCTTCTTGTCAGCACAATAAGGCTTCAAATCAAAAGCCAGGCGGACTGCTGCAGCCCCTTCCCATTCCAGATAACGTTTGGGATAGTGTGTCAATGGATTTGGTCACACAGCTACCCACAACCCGCAATGGGCATGACGCGATAGTAGTGTTCGTGGACCGCCTGAGCAAGATGACGCACTTCGCTCCCACAACCACATCCGTCGGTGCGGAAGATCTAGCCCGCCTCTTTGTGGCTACGGTTTTCAAACAGCACGGCCTTCCACAGAATATTGTGTCTGACCGGGACACACGCTTCACAAGCAACTTTTGGAAGGAAACATTTCGCCTGCTAGGCACCCACCTCTATATGAGCACAGCCTACCATCCGCAGACTGATGGTCAAACCGAGCGAATGAATCGCTTACTGGAAGAGACACTGAGGCACTATATTTCGCCCACTCAGGATGATTGGGACGAACACCTGCCACTCATCGAGTTTGCTATTAATAACTCGAGGCAGAGCTCAACGGGTGCCACCCCGTTTAGCCTTAATGGTATCAAGCAGCCACGTGTGCCGGTTGACTTGCACCTAAAAACCAAAGTGCCTGCCGCTGACCTCTATCCCAAGGTCATGCGCAAACGTATTGAAAACGCAAAACAGTGTCTTAAGGCTGCTCAATCCCGCCAGTGCATTGTCGTCGACAAGCATCGGCGTGCAGTGCATTTTGAGGTTGGGGACTCCGTGCTGCTCAGCACCCGCAACATCCAGTTGAAATCTCCTGGAGCAAAGAAATTGTTGCCTAAGTTTATTGGGCCATATAAGGTTGTCGCCCGAGTGGGAGAGAACGCGGTAAAATTGGGATGACCCGCGACTTCCCGACTCCATCCGGTCTTCCACGTATCCTTGCTCAAACCATTCAAGGACGATGGAACACGACAACCGCCGCCCCCGTTCATAATTGACGAAGAGCCATATTACATGGTTGAAGCACTACTTGACCATCGTGATGTGAAAATCCGAGGTGGAACCGGCAAAACACGTCGAGAATATCTGGTTAAATGGGAAGGCTATGACTCCAGTCATAACACCTATGAACCGGAAGATTCCCTGCGTCAGTCCGTTCCCTTGGCCGAAGCTATTGACGACTATGAACGACGGTTGGCGGCAAAATCGGGGCAACCTACACCAAAAAGGAAAGTGGTCCTGACCACATCTCCTTCGGTAGCACCCCGGAACATTACCCCAGAACAACCGAAACGGAAAGCACCTGCTCGCAAGAAAAGGTGACGCTCCCGGGACGGTTCGCTTCTGAGGGGGAGGGATGTAGCAAGCTACACTTACCTTAGAATATCTTTAAGCTATTAAGGCTTAATCACAGTAACGGTACGGTTCCGTATTTACGAACCATACTCGTTAACTGTACGAACTCACTTTCTGGTATGCTATCACAACCTAGCGTACGACACCAAGACTCCAGGAATGGAGATGGCGGCAGGTGGGCTGCATTTAAGCCACCCAGGTGAAGTGCTTCGGCCAGACACTTCTGTATCAATATACTAGTGTTCAGGGTTCAAGACCTTGCTGTCACCGTTCTCGACGTATGTCTTCGAATCCCGACTTCCCTTGTCTCTTCTCACGCCTAACGCTGGGTCGCCAATCGTGGACGAGATCCTCCGCTTCCGCTAACACAGCTAAGGTAAGAGACGGCTGTTACATTACAGCCATGAGGTTGTTTGATAGAGTCGACTCTATCTATCTCCTTGCTTGTAAGTGGATGTTTCTATGATGCGCCATATCTTTCCCGATCCCCTTCAAGAAATTATCATCATAATAGTTGCGCGATTGCGCCTCGTGCATTGTCGTACGTGAATGTGTGTGTGTGTGTGTGTTGTGTGTGTGTGCACACGTGTGCGTGTGCGTGTCTGTGTGTGTGCGTGTCTGTGTGTATGCGCGCGTGCGTACGCTATACACACGCGTGCTATACGGATGTGTGTGTATAGCAGCTGCAGTACAAGGTGTATATAACGGGCAACTCGGTCCCCTCAGGACAAGCAAGAGGGAGTTTGGTCTAGTGGTATGATTCTCGCTTCGGGTGCGAGAGGTCGTGGGTTCGATTCCCGCAACTCCCCTTTTGGACGTGGTGCGCGACGGCGTCTGCATGCATGCCGACGCATGGATCATGTATGGATCATCGGGGTGCAGAACGGATGTAAATTTACACTTAAACCTGGTGGAGGGATGCATCCAATTCCCCAAAATGCACGAGGTGATGATGATGGTGATGATGAGAATGCACGAGACGGTTCCGGTTCACTTCTCTGCCGCACACAATTGTGTGCAACCATCTACTACCCGGACATGCACCAGGCACTACTCGGGAGAGCTAGCTAGCTAAACAGGCGACCAGCCGGCAGCTTGGCGATTTTGCTGGTAAGCACGTGTTTTTCGGAGGGAGGGAGGGAGGGAAAGAAGTAGGGTGATGTTAGGGGCCCCTGCATGCTCTGGCTACTCACACTATCCTCAACCATACATCCTGTCCTTTGACACCCACGCACTGCACATACAGCTCTATCTAAAGTCTCTCCTGGCAATTAAAACTGTTGCTTGTACAAGTGTTGGGTACAATGTATGTCCGCAGTCTTTTATGGTGTTCCCCCTGTTGGACTGATCAGTCATGAGGACTGAGGTTGGCTTGTGGGGTCGATGGTACACCTTTCCCGGTGCCCCCGGGGCCCCCTGCCAGCCTCTATTTGCTGGGCTATCTTTACCTCGGTTATAGTGCTTGTTATTATTGGTCTCATTGGGGTTTCCGTGCACTGATGATCATCAGTGCATGGAAACTGGGGAACAGGTCATGACCTGATGACATGTTTTGCTTCCCTCGAGGGCCAGAGCTCTGGCCTCTACCTGCTGAACTATATATCTATGTATACTGTTCTGTACAGTGCTCGTTGACTGAGCTCACAGCTGTAGCAGGGGTTTTCGTGCACTGCCCACCGGTGATCTACGAAATGCTTGGATATTAATTGTGTGGTGCATATATTATCTACACTCGTGGAACGCCACCACTTAGTATCTTCTTAATACCATCTTAGTGCTACCCACTTCATATGTCCTTCATAGCTACCTGGTAACATTCTTAATAGGCCGCTTAGTAGGTCACTTAGTATCATGTTACATACTAATGGTACTCGAAGCGCTTAGTCCCGAATACTAAGTCCTCCAAACAAATATTAAGTGACATTTATTAAGAACTTCATGATCAAGCAATTATGAAGTAATAAATATATGAAGTAACATTTACTAGGGGCAAATGCTTGCTCAATAGATGATTCTAAGTAACCCTACAAACACGGAGGGGGGTTAAGAAACTTAGGAGAATGCTTAAGAACGATAAGAACGACGGAAGAACATG